AATAATAATAACAACAACAATGCCAATTTGTTCCGTTGCTCAGAAGGGCCGAGGGTACCTAGATGGAAGCACACTGTCTTTTTCTTAAACCATAGGATAATTGAAGTAACAACTTTATTATTTCATCTAATCTCATCTTTGCTAACTATACCATTTTATCTGACACATTCCTCAGCTTTTCCACTACTAAGCAGTTCACTATATTGTAGACATAATAATAATTTTTAATTTCATAGACGATAAAAGACATTAATTTTTTGTCAGCTGGTGACCTCAAACTGCGAGTTGGAATGAGGTCTCAGCAAATTTTATAAATAATATGATGGCGCATTATCATTCAAGCATTTGTGACACAGGGTGGCCAAGTTGTACACAATTATAATTCTTTTCTCAACAGGAAGCCAATGCAATGTCCGTAAAAGAGATACTGAAGCATGCTAATGTACTGACATGCAGAAAGACATAACTACAGTCGAACCTGTTGTATGGTAAAGTTGTTTTATTTATTTATTTACTTATTTATTTTTATTTTATTTTTTTATTTATTTATTTACTTATTTATTTTTATTTTATTTTTTTATTTATTTATTTACTTATTTACTTATTTATTTATTTACTTACTAATTTTATTTTATTTTTATTTTTTTTTGGAGGGGGGAGGGGGTGTTTAAGTTTTTTTTAAAAATAGTTGTTTCATAAAGTAAAATAAAAACATATTTTGAATACCATGGGTTTTTTTATATACATGTACCATTAAATAGCTGTACGTATTGTAAAGTATAAACAAACGTTTTGAATACAAAGGGGTGGTTGAATACAAGGGGGTTTTGTTGTTGATTTTTTTAAAAAGTTGTAACTGTAAGTTTCAAAAATGTTTTGAATACAAGACGGTTTTATTAATAAAGTTATTTCATAAAGTTAAAAAGTAAATTAATAAAATTAATAGGCCTACAAAAATATATATTTTGGATACAAGAGGGTTTTATTGATAAAGTTATTTCATAAAGTTAAAAAGTAAATTAATAAAATTAATAGGCCTACAAAAATATATGTTTTGGATACAAGAGGGTTTTATTGATAAAGTTATTTCATAACGTTAAAAAGTAAATTAATTAATATGAATACAAGAGGGTTTTATTGACAGTTAATCATAAATAAATAAATAAATATTTTGAATACATTGGGGTTTTGTAGATAGTTATTTCATAATAGTAATAATAAATACATAGATAAATGTTTGGAAAAGATGAGGGTTTTATTTATAAAGTGGTAAAAACAAATATTTGAAATAAATGGGGGTTTTATTTATGAAACAATGGTTTCGTAAAGTAAAAAAAAAAATGACGTATTGAATACTTAAGGCTTTTATGTATGAGATAATGTTTCGTAAAGTAAAAAAAAAAATGACGTATTGAATACTAAAGGCTTTTATGTATGAGATAATGTTTCGTAAAGTAAAAAAAAAAATGACGTATTGAATACTAAAGGCTTTTATGTATGAGATAATGTTTCGTAAAGTAAAAAAAATAATGTTTTGAATACTAAAGGCTTTTATGTATGAGATAATGTTTCGTAAAGTAAAAAAAATAATGTTTTGAATACTAAAGGCTTTTATGTATGAGATAATGTTTCGTAAAGTAAAAAAAATAAAGTTTTGAATACTAAAGGGTTTTATTGATAAAATTTTAATTGTTTAAAAAAATAGAAAACAACACAAAAAAATGTTTTGAATAAATGACAACATTCAAACTTATGACACATGCTCATGCTTGCTCAGAAGAAAGAAACATAAATAAAAAAAATAATAAATCAATAAATAATTCTTAAAATACAAACGTCTCATTTGAGGATTCAATCCTTTTATCTCCTCCAACCGTAACCCACCCCCCCCCCCCCACCCCCCAAGATCCTTTAACACTTTGCTTCATCATCTCACCGATTGGCGATGTTTACCATCCAGTTTCTTTAGATTTTCTCCAAAATATGATGGCAAAGTGTTAAAGACCCTCCTATCACAACCCATTGGTCACTGGTCACACTGCATAGGTTGAAAAGTGGGTGGTTGGCGGGTGCTCTGGTGTGGTCTGCTCCTTCTTTCCTATTAAACTTCTATCGTCCTTATCTCCCCCTTCTTCTTTTTTATGTTTGTTACTCCCTTGTAACACCTCTAATCTTCTGGCGCTCATATGACCTTATGCAGTTGCGAGCGCCGTAAAACCTCTACTAAAACTAAACTAAATAGGTTGAAAAGCCCATTTTAAACACCCTTGAGTTATTTAATAAGAGGAGGGGGCCTCCGTATCTCACATCCATCTCTGATAGGACAAAGTCAAATAGGGCGAAAGTGAATCTCCTGTTTAGTTTTACTTCTAGTAGAGTTTTTTCGGCGCTCGCAACTGCATAAGGTCATACGAGAGCCAGAAGATTATGTTTGTTTTAGTAGAGTTTTTTCGGCGCTCGCAACTGCATAAGGTCATACGAGAGCCAGAAGATTATGTTTGTTTTAGTAGAGTTTTTTCGGCGCTCGCAACTGCATAAGGTCATACGAGAGCCAGAAGATTATGTTTGTTTTAGTAGAGTTTTTTCGGCGCTCGCAACTGCATAAGGTCATACGAGAGCCAGAAGATTATGTTTGTTTTAGTAGAGTTTTTTCGGCGCTCGCAACTGCATAAGGTCATACGAGAGCCAGAAGATTATGTTTGTTTTAGTAGAGTTTTTTCGGCGCTCGCAACTGCATAAGGTCATACGAGAGCCAGAAGATTATGTTTGTTTTAGTAGAGTTTTTTCGGCGCTCGCAACTGCATAAGGTCATACGAGAGCCAGAAGATTAGAGGTGTTACAAGAGAGTAACAAACATAAAAAAGAAGAAGGGGAGATAAGGACGATAGATGTTTAAAAGGAAAGAAGAAGCAAACCACACCAGAGCACCCGCCAACCACCCACGCTGCATAGGTGTGAACCCTATTTCAAACACTCTGAGTTATTTAATAAGAGGCGGGGCCTCCAAATTTGACATCCATCTCTGACAGGACAAAGTCAAATACGGTGAAAGTGAATCTCCAATAAGACTGAGCCAAAGGGGGTGGTAAGCCAAAAAAGTCTGGCCCTCATATGACCTTATGCAATTAAAAGTGCCGTAAAACCTCTTCTAAACGCCGTAAAACCTCTTCTAAACGCCGTAAAACCTCTTCTGAAACTAAAACTAAAAATTTCAAAGTTTGGCCCTCATAAGACCTTATGCAATTAAAAGCACCGTAAAAACTCTACTAAAACTAAAACTAAAAACCTCAAAGCCTCCCCAAAACAACCAAAGTTCAGAACACCTCGTTACAGCTAGGTTTGAACCGGGGACATCAGCTTCGTAGACCAGCAGGATATCAACTGATGCTGCTAATGGCATATTTACCTCATCACCACTAAACACGACTTTTTTAAAGACTCCCTTACAACAGAACTGAACGAAAATAAATAAATAGAGAAAACACACCACCCTTCTTTGTGATATAATCTAAGCTGCATTATAACTTCTTCTTAAACTTAAATTTACTCATTACTGCCACCGAAACCTCAATAGAAGAAGAGAACAATCTTTAACAAAACACATGAAAACAATAAAAAGGCAAAAATAAAGACCAAAAAAAACCCCCAAATACACACGACCAAAGAAAAACAATACAAAACATATTACAACAAAACAAGAGAAAAACTATTTCTAAATTACACAAAAATATTTTAAAAAGACAATTTTTAATGAAAAAGAAAAAAACTACACATAAAGACATAGAAGAGAAGAGAGAAAAAAATCAAGAGAAAGACATGCAAGAAAGAGAACAAAAATTCAACAAGCATCAAAGTACACACAAGGCAGCAAAGATACGGGAAACAATCAATCCAAATAAATTTTTAGAATAAATTCAATAGAAATAAATATGTAAATAAATAAGTACAACAATGAATAAATAAATAGATAAATAGATAAATAAATTAATAATATAAATAAATAAATACAATAAACAAAAAAACAACAACAACAAAAATAAATAAATAAATGCAATGCAACAACAGAAAGAAAGAAAAACAAATGACGATTAGAATGAAAGAGTTAGACGAAAAATGAAATAATATGTGATTACCAGATATCGCTTCTCATGTCAACATAGCGCCTGAAAAATGATGGGTGAGGTGGAGAAAGAGGATATAATGAGGCAATGAGGAGGGCGGTGAAGGGTGAAAGGTGAAAGGTGATATATACTATTACGATGTGAAGTCCGATCAGAAAAAACAACTACCGGACATAGTCCCAAAATGGAAATCGTGAAGATACGTGAGGCAGCGTGGTGGAATCAGGCTCTCGTCAATTTTTGGGCATATTGAGTTATTGGTATCATCTTAAAACTTGTTCATTTGTCTTCTTTTCAATGAAAAAATTATCCATCCATATTTAATAGAAGTGGAGAAGTGGTTTAAGAGGTAAAATTAGCGAGAAAATGGCCGCCAAAGCTTGGTAAATTCCAAAGCTGGAGAGTCCATGGAAACTGTAAATTTATATTTTTGTGCCTTTAATCAATGCTTTTTTGTGAAATCCTAAAAGGAATGTGTTTGTAAATGGACATAAAAGGTGTTGAGCCAAAAAACAAAAATTTGATAAAAATTGCTAAGCAGGGAGAAAACTGCTGTTTTCTTCGATTTCATTATTTTGACGAGAGCCTGATTCCACCACGCTGCCTCACATATGGTCGCTTTTAAGGACAAGTGGGCTAACCCAGATTTCGGGGGTTTCCAGAAATCTTGACCTACACCAAAAACGGGTACTGCTCTAGATCTACCTCTAGGAGAAGTTTGCGTACATTTGTGTGTATATTTGTTAGGTCATAGAGAAAACTCTCCACGTTTTTCGAAGAAACTGAACAAGGGGCAAAAACTTTACCTTCGATTTTCTCAAAACAGCATTTTTTGGGATAGCCCCCCTTGTGCTTAAAAGCGACCGTATATCTCAAGTTCAAGATCGTGCAGACTCAAAGCGCAACCTAGCTAGAAAACCTTAACACAAGGGCGACTGGGATTATGATGGTGGTGACAAGGTAGATTCCAAACTGTATTTCTATTTCACAGGGTTTTTAGTTTTTTAAAATACCACTGTCTAATTTCCCATTCAACTAAAAAGGGGGGGGGGGGGACATTTCTCGTTCAAGCACAGTAGAATTGTAAATGGGCTGACTCATGTCACGCTCATAACTGTGCCTGAACTACAACGGGGAACTGCTGCTTTTTCTTTCCTGATCCTTACTATTGTCATTTTCGTCTACTTCTTTTGTATGTTTGTCACTCTCTTGTGACCTGCTATTTCCGGGGTGCCTTGATAGTCGAAGCAGACCTTGTGCTGTTGAAGCTAGAGAGGTGAGCAGTCTCTAAGTCTGATTCCCTGTAAAGACTTCTCTGTTGACACCCACCCTTGGCGCTCATTTGACCTTATGCAGTTGTGAGCGCCGTAAAACCCTCTACTATAAAAAAAAATATATAACAATAATGACAATAAACCAAACGGTAAAACAAAAAAGAAAGTTTTGAGTCTACATCATCACCATCATCATCATCACCACCATCATCATCATCCAGTGCCAGATCTGCGACTGACATCTGCGATCATGGCTCTCCATTCATTCCTTAGCTCGGATGCTCTTTTAGAGTCTACAAGCTTTGAAAATTGATACCCTCACGATTTCCGTTGCGTTTAGTTTTAGAAAGAGTTGTACACAATGGCACTTGAAACACAAAATAAGGTCACGTAAGTCGTCACCTCATAACTATTTATAGTCCACAGTGCCTCTTTCCCTAAGAACAGTTTGCACAAAGATTAGAGGTGTTTTTAGTTTTAGTAGAGGTTTTACGGCGCTCGCAACTACATAAGGTCATATGAGCGCCAGAAGATTAGAGGTGTTACAAGAGAGTAACGAACATAAAAAAGGAGAAGGAGAGATAAGGATGATAGATGTTTGAGAGGAAAGAAGGAGCGAGCCACACCAGAGCACCTGCCAACCACCCACGATTAGAGGTGTTACTAGACAGTAACGTGAATATGATGAAAAGGAGTAGAGGAGATAAGGACGATAGAGGATGTTTTAGTTGGAAATAAGGAGCGACCCACACCAGAGCACCTGCTAACCACCCGCAAAGCAGTGGCGTTTGGGTTTGAGTCCAAGGGCAGGTTAGATAAAGCATCACTACAATAAGGTCATAGAAGTGCCAAAGATTAGAGGTGCTACAAGAGATAACATACAACAAATGGAGGAGGAGGAGGAGAGATGAGGACGATGGATGTTTTTTAAAGTTTTAGTAGAGGTTTTACGGCACTCGCAATTGCATACGGTCATCATATGAGCGCCAGAAGATTAGAGGTGTTACAAGAGAGTAACAAACATAAAAAAGAAGAAGGGGAGATAAGGACGATAGATGTTTGATAGGAAAGGAGGAGCAAACAACACCAGAGCACCCGCCAACCACCCACTTACAAGAGAGTAACAAACAAAGGAAGAGGAGAGATGAGGATGACAGTAAAAGGAGGAGGACAGATAAGGACAACAGATGTTTATTGTTTATTTTGTTTCAGTGAGAATTTCACGGCACTTGCAACACAATAAGCTCATAATATACATGTGCAAAAAAATTAGAAGTGTTACAAGAGAGTAACAAACACTAAAGAGAAGGAGGGGTGATAAGGATTTTTTGTTTTTGTGTGTGTGTGTGTGTGTGTGTGTGTGTGTGTGTGTGTGTGTGCGTGTGTGTGTGAATGAAAAGGATGATAGATGTTTGATAAGAAAGAAAGAAAAGAGTGTGTGTGCGTGCGTGTGTGTGTGTATATGTGTGTGCGTGCG